ATTATTCCAATTCCAATTTATCCAAAAGATGTCCTAGATCCCTCCAAAACTTGTCTGTTTTGAATCCAAAAGTCATCCAAAAGCAGTTGTCCGTGGGATGACTCTTGGATAAAAATTGGACAAGTTGTCCAATTTTTATCCAATTGTAAATTGTAAAATTTTTATTCAAAGTTATCCAAACCAACTTCTCCAAATGTGGTCTGATTTTTGCAAGATTCTGCGATATAAGTTGGTTTAAATAACTTCAAGACAAAAAAACCGAAATTTTCTTGCTCACTGGGATGTTGGAAATTTTTCAAGAAAATGTAGACATCAAGTGAAACTGATCCCAGATCCTGGTTTAAATATTTGAGAAATGTTCAGCCTTTTCTATCCAACTGGGAAATCGAAATTTTGATTCATTCATGGTTATTCCTTTTTTACTCGCCAGACACGTGCTAATTATGGAAACCTTTACTCGGTTTGTACACTGAGGCCTTACTTATAAACGTAGCCCTACTCTTGGTTACTCTGTCGTCGTACGTCTTATCGGTCTCGAACGGTTAGGTTCTTGTTCCGCTTTTTGTAAGTGAAAAGAGATCCTGCCATGACCAGCATAAATATTGACGATAAGAACTGTCCTCGATATTCCGGATGTGCAACTTCACCCATGTAAACACGTCCAATCGGAGCTCTGCAATCATGAAATTTCAAATTATTTAGCTGACACTACCGAAATACGACAAAAGATCCTCATTATTACGTGACACAAACATACAAAACTTGCTGACCCTTCACATTTTTCATCAGAGCCACCCGAGCCTAAAATCCGGTGAAGGGGGGGGGGGCAGAAAATTTCCGGAACTGAGAGAAAAAACAACCAACAGTTGGAAAAGAAATTCAAATAAGAAAAGCGCAAATATGATTCATTCCATACATCGATTATAAATTTTTTACTAATTTCAAGAAAGTATTTCCAAGAAAAAATACAAGAACACGAAATAATAAGATGAAAACACGAAAATTTGATTCGGAACAGGAAAAAGTCATCGTGCTATTTTTTTTATCAACATTTTACTTCACAGGTGTTCAGGGTGGTTTCTTTCTTCTTAACATGTCTATTTTTCAACAGGCTATGCATCAAAATGCGTCGTTATTTTCATCGATAAAAAAAAAATCGGGAAATTATTCTGATCTGGTCTTTTTCTTGAAGCTCGAATCCAGAGGAATCTCACCTAATTCCTTGTGCCAATCCACATAAAATTTGTCCAGCAAGCATCATGTAAAAGCTACTGGGGTACACCATCAAGAGCCATCCAACTGCACAAGGCACCAGCAACACAATGTTGGGCCATTTGCGGCCATAACGAGTCGACAGAGTCCCAGCTACGACAGCACCAACCATACTGGCGAGGTTCAATGAGCTTCCTGTCATGATTCAAAACATTTTAAAATTAGCCGATGACAGCAATCAAAACCGAAAAATCGTTTATAACGAGTCGACAGAGTCCCAGCTACGACAGCACCAACCATACTGGCGAGGTTCAATGAGCTTCCTGTCATGATTCAAAACATTTTAAAATTAGCCGATGACAGCAATCAAAACCGAAAAATCGTTAAAGAATAAAATTCTGGGAAGAACTGCATACATTGAGAAAATTATAGCTATGAACGACGAGTGTACCTACTACCAGGTGATTCTTATACACGGAATTCTTCATTTATGTTTTTGTTAAATAGGGAGAAAAACACTAATTTTTTGTTCGCTTCAGAACACAAATTTTTTTTTTTATACTGTACAGTCAATTCTATAAGTTGAGCTTCAAGTGACCAGTAAACAATTCTTAACAACAATATGAGAATGTTCCCGTTAGGGAAACAAGCATTTGTGCTGGGGAAAGAAAAAAGAACTGGAGTAAATCATAATTTTGATACAGTACTTTGGTCTCAAATTATTTCTTGAATGATTTGACAGGATGCTGAATTGGGAGGCAGGAAGGGTTCATTTTCCCCAATTATCCCTTCACTTCCATTCAAACGCAGATAAAGTTAAATTCTTATTATCTCTCTCCTTTATCAATAAAATTATAATCACAAGCTCTCCAGAAAATGTGAGCGGATCTAGCTTTAAGAAAGAAAGCTTTCAAGTTAGGGAGTTTTTAAAAGCCTTTCTTGTTTCTAAGAGAATTCAGACAAGGACTTTTGAATTTCTAAATAGTGAGGTATTTGAGCTGTGGAGGTTTGAGTTATAAAGGTTCAACTGTATGGTAAAGACAGAGTATTTCATAATTTAACACCAAAGATCAACTAAATCAATTGGGGAGCAGGCTTTAACACCTTGTGCTTTACTTAGGCTTCAGCAATAGCCTTATGCTAAAATTCTTATTGCTGACATTTTTTTATCAGGGAATGGAAGAAAGTATATGTATATTTACATCATAGCAGTTGTGCAATTGTACATTTTGAAGTATATTTTCATCTATTTCAAGATCGATATACAGCTAATATCTCTGTTTTCCATTCTGATGTGATGGAATGTGTTTGGATGAAAATGGGCGGGGAAGGGGTGCGGACGCAGGAATGTTGCTTGAACCTTTTGAACACTGAAAAGTGGAAAATAAAGCTTGCTGTTCAATTCAATCAATGCACAGTAGATTTTTCAGAATTGTCTGTCCTGATTTCATAGCAAGAATCCTCTTGATGAGAAGCATGACAAATAAATGAATATTGTGAATTTCAGCTTCATCATGATCAGTGGTTTTTTTTTTAGTTACAGCAGTGAAATGCATTTACTGTATAGTAAAGAACCAATTATTTAAACCAAAGAACCAATTCAAGAAATTGTTCTAATATTTTGAGTCACTCACCAAAAAGTCCTATGTCTTTGTTGGTAACTTGGAAAGGAGCATTGCCTGAAGTCCATTGTGTTTCCAGAGAATCTAGGCCTACAGAAGTGTAGCCAATGTTCAATCCTGTCAAAAATCCATTCGTGCAGCCAATCAAAGCAGCTAAAATCTGTAGACGAAAAAAATCAATTGACAAAAGTTGCTTGGTCATTCCTAAAAACCGCTTTTTCTATCAATCTCACTTGTCTGCGGAACGATGACTTAGGTTTTCCCCCGTTATAAATGTGTGCTGACGATTTTTCCAAGTCACTGTTTTCCAACGACATCTCGTCAAACCTGATGTCGTTGCACTGGCAAGAAATTCTTTAAATCGTGAATAAATGGAAATGTTTGGAAAATCATAATCACGAAATCACGGGATGAAAATTCGAAGAAATGTAGTCTTTTTTCGCAAGCAAGAAGGCATAATTTCCGCCGAAAAGTTAACTTAAAATGTCCTCTTCTACTGCGGCAGCGGAAACCTGCGATTTTCTCGGTCTATTTTCCGCAAGTACTGTACTTGAATTTTCACATTGTAAAATCGATACTGTGATACTCGACGGATTGGATCGGAGCTATTCATATTCTTCACCTGCTTGTTGTTGCTGTTCACTACCAGTCACTAAATTCGAAAAAAATGGAAGAAAGCGAGAGCGAAATTTACTTGACTCGTTCATCATTTGAAGCTGAAATATTGAAATTTTATTACGCAAGGTTTTCATGAAGAATACAGAGCAAAGGAAGCATTCAAGAAAATAATCGAATATAATTCTGTACTTAACGTTTTTTTTTCATTTTTATATTACAATGTCACATTCTCACATTGAAAACTGAAATGTGGTCTTCGTCTCAAATAAAAACATTGTCAAAGAGGATTGAAACAAATATTGTACCTAAATTTTCAAAAATATGAGTACGTTACCATTTCTATAAACCTTAATATTTAGTTGAAAACAATTTTCAACTGTTCTGTTTAAACATGCTTCTTTCAAGTTCAAAATCTTGAAACTTTTCAAGTACAGTATATAGGCAAAAATGTGTAAAAACTTCAAATAAATCATGAAAATCGAAATGGACCCAACAAAAACACTTATAATGCAGTTCATACTGTACATTGAATGCACTACAGACGAAAGGGTTCCCGGTTAGGGTTAATAATCTCCAAAAATGATTTGGTCAAAGAGAAAAGAATAGCAAGTTTCTAAGAAAACAAAAAATTCCCCGCATGAATAGGTAATGAGTCATGGGATGACATTTTCCAAGCATAGTCTTCAACTTCGCCGATCGAAGTAAATGTCCGCTGCAGTATCGTGACTGAGGCAGAAACGAATCGGCACAGATTAGGCAGGAATTCGCCGTTATTCTTTGTCCGAATTATCTCCGTGAACCCGAGAAGGTCAATAAGATAGCTCTTTTTTTTTTTAATAAAAGCTGCTTCACTTGACCATGGCATTTCAAGCTTCAAAGCGGGTCAACGGGTGCGAACTTGTTCTACCTCATCGAGGCCTGTAAGGAAGCCGTGATGGATTTTTTCTCAACAGAAAACTCGGAATATTACCCGATTCAGTGGATCAATGCTTTACCAAGTGTTTAATATACGAACAGACCGCGTACTTTTGAACTCGGGGTTTCTACCTGTGGAAATCTGATCGCAGAATTCCCGGATGTATCAGATGGACTGCGAAAGAAGTGAAAGCACTCATTTATCGAAGAGTATTTTTTTTTAATGCTTTTTTTCACTGGAAATAATAGAAGTTCACTATGGATTCCAAGTCATGCGAATTTCTAAAATGCTTGTTAGATTTCAGGGCTTATCTTGGTATGGTTCTTTTTTTTTTTTAACAAACGTTCGCGCTGCTTCGAGTACTTGCACGAACAAAACAGCTGCGTCGAAGTCTGATTACAATTTTCTGACCTTTTGATTTCAATTCTTTCAATACGTGACCAACAAAAAGGCTTTTTTGCGTTATACTGTACTTGTTTTTCGGAAATACCTTTATTTCAAGCATTCATGCAATTATGAATTTTAAAAATTTTCACTGCGGTCAAACGATCCTAAACCCCATCCTGAAGTTTCCGGGAATTCGCTCAAAATTGTCGAGAACTTTAATATTTGGGAATTGGGACCCTTTTTAAAGGAGCAATAATGAACATTCTGAAATCTTCGAAGATTCGAATTGGATATGCAGAAGTAAACAGTTTTCTGATGCTTGAATAAAATTCAGATAATTTTCATATTCTTGCATGGTCGTATAATGTGAGGAAGACAGGAGTTCGGAAGACGTGAAGTCATTTGTCTCCTCTGTATTTGTGCGAGTCCTACACTCCTATAATAAGGTGTAAGAATAACGCTTATTTTGACTCTTCAAGCAAATAATCATTTTAGTTAAATTATTATGTCAGCAGGCACCCAATATCATCCTGCCCCATCAAATTTTCACGACACGCGAAAATATCATCACAACGAAAAGCTTCGGACCCGGAAGAAACCGACAATTAAAACGAAAAATTTCGTTAAAATGAACCTAAAATAACAGTGTGCCTATACACCTAGAGGAACATCAAGAACGAATTCGTTTCAGCAAGACCTTTTTAAAGAGATTTCACTGATTTCTGAGCGATTAATCTCGATAGAATCACGATGACGCCCTTTTGATGACGTCAACCCGACATCACGCGACCTGACTTTTGACCTCGTGCCAAGTATCGAAAAAGCTCGCAAAATCGTCCATTCGCCAGAGAAAGCGCAAGGAAACAAACTTTACTGGCGAAATACAGATCGATTCAAGAAATGCATGTACTTTCAGTACATAATCACGTAAAGAACATTTTTGAAACTGTGATCACAACGACAAGCATGCCTCGTTAGCCGAGGTTTGTTATAAATTTTGATTCAAGGATTCTTAAACCTCTGGAATGTCTGAATTTCTGCTCTGTAAGCACGATAGTAAATGAAGGGATTCTTGAGAAAACCCCGCAAGTGGAAAATCTCGTGAATAAAAATACAAAAACCCAACGACGTGAATTTTTGATGCATCAGAAAAAGTCTGAAAATCCAAACCCCATAAAAAACCGCATGGGAAGAAAAATCGTGCTATTGCCAAATTTTGAAAGCTTGTCTTCAGCGTTTCTTCTGAATCATTTTAAAATTTGTATCAACTTTCGTAATAGCCTGGGTAAGATGTATAGCCTTCAATTCAAGCTTCAAATTCTCTGCACTATTGGCTCCGAACATGAATTTTTTACTTTTATTTTTTTTTAGAGATTTTCGTACTTCCTGGGATTTTTGTAGCCCACGATATTTCCTCCTGCACCCGACTGAACACTGTCTCGAATTTATCTCCATATAATCCACTGAGGTTCAGGTGTCATCGCATTCGTTAATTCACTGATCCCATAAAAAAAAATTGTGAGGCGATGGAAGTCACAGATATTTGCACAAGGAGAACACCAACTCGGGAATAAAAAAAAACTGCAGAAACATCCCTGATTTCGCTCTTCTTCTGTGCGAAACGACACACGATATCACAGCTTTCGTCCGGTCAGCGGACCAGTCGGCGGAGCAATGATGCAATCCGCTTTCATGCACTACGAAGACAAAGGAAAATCAGGCTTTATTTTCCGAAGGAAAGAAAAGCCAGTCCAGGACAGGGTCGGATTAGAGAAGGGGTTTTCCCTAAGTTCAGTGAGTGCCAAGTTGAGAAGGCTGACCATTCCAGCATGATAATGCAATCCTCTGCAGGTCATGTCATAAACATTGACCTGCGATGCGAAGAATCGAATTCCAAAGAGCGGCGCCCTGTGATTCAGTCGAATTTGGTAGGACAGAATTGGAGCAAGGGTCGAATTTAAATTGAATTATCGTGTAAAGCATTTCGAGAGCAGCGATTTTCTTCTTTAAGAAAAGTATTTCTGAACATTTACGGTACATATTTATTATTGCCATTTTTGCCAGGATACAGTACATTTTTGGAGCCATCAGAAAATGTCAAGTTAGATATGATGTCCCAGGGGAAGAAGGGCAAGCTAAAAGTATAAGGGGTGGTGTTCTTCCTTACAGTTGCCAGGCAGATAAAAAAAAATTCAAGCAATAACTATAGTTGAATATTCTTTGTGTCCAATGATGTGAGAATTTCAGGGAAACCTTCACAACTCTCCAATCTATTTTGAATTGTTTGTACCAATTGAGGGGGTATATACCATGGAAAATAAAGTCAGATTTTCAAGTACTGTATAGTGTAGTTTCTGGGTAATTTTCTTTTTTTTAATTCATGTGTTAATTGTTGCAATAAATATTCTGAACCATTTCTCTCACCAAAGGCCCCTAAATAAGCTAGAATACCGGAACTGGGTATACAGTATACAATGTTCCATATAGTGTATAAACAAAAGCAGGGAGGGCATAAAGATTCAGTGTCATGATAGTATGTCAGAAAATTACGATTTAAATGATAAAATGCCCCTGCTTCAAAGAACATCAATTTGTTGGCTGAGTTGTATGCGGGAATTCATCATCAGAATACGTAATCTATAGCTCAGAAAAAATCAGCATTCAAATTGTTGACGCCATCAAATTGTTTGTGCCTAAAGAGTTCTAATTTTCTGTAATTGATATAAGCATTTTTTGAATTTTATCCGGTTACGGCAGAAAATTTTTATGCTTTTCAACTTTGAAACAAAGCGAAATTTCTGGATCGATAACTATTCCGATCGAAAGATAAAAAATACTGTAAATTGATTTGGGGCGATTAATGGAATATTTACCAAAATTTTCAAGAGACCGAAGCATTTCTGAAAAACTTTGACGCAACCCCTGAGGCCCTGAGCCAGCCTTGAGACAAGCTTTTTATGCTCAATATTTTTGTTCTACCATAATATCAAATTCATTGCCGATCGTACGGCAAAAAATTCTTGTGACTCTTGTAAAATAATTCAAAATTTATGTTTATTTTTGCCTTATGAACAAAAATCTTGGGTCATATTAGAAAAGTACTTCGTGTCCTTGAATTCAGAATTATTGGGAAACACTTTACAAGCAGAATCGATGCTTGTCGAACTGTCCAAGTCACTGAATTCAAGAGATCAAAATGGATCATTGTAAATTCACCCCATCATTGCTAAATAGAAATGAGGTTTTAGTTACACAACAAATCCCTGAGTTCCAAAATTTTCCGGGTCTACCAAAATGAGTGTATACACGAAAGATTTGACGAACCAACTGTCAATTTGAATATGTTCGTGAGCTTTTGGTCGAGTTTAAATGTTTGATATACGATTCTTTTCCTCATGCAATTTAACCATTAGCTAGTTAGCTTCATCAACGTCAATGAGATGCTATGTCTGAGAGACTTCAATAAGGTGCACTTGAGTGTTTACTGTACATATAAAATAATTGCATGCGAGAGATTTAATCCTTCTTTCGATGCATGTTTCATGAAGGTATAAAAGTCGTATTCCGTAGTTTGAGAGCACGAAATGATTATCGTCAATCATGGCTCAATGCAGTTTCAATTTATTTACATTTTCCTACATTACGGAGACCCGTGCAATATTTTTATGATTCATGGTTTTTCGCTCGATTTTCAGCTTGACGTTTGATTGATCGTTTACCCCATTGATTTCAAACAGCCTGCAATTGGGTATCCCACTGCTGACACGTTGGTTTTTCCTTCCTGTTTTCCTCAAGAAAATGAAAAATATAGCTAATTACTACACTCCATCAATTAATAAATGTGAGGGAAACGTAGAAGTCTATATACTTGCTTGGATTACCGAATGTTTTCATGGCCGAAAAACATGTCGGTTGATCCATTAATATTTTATTCAAGTTCAAGTCTACAGAAAGCATTCCAAGACAGAACTTGAACTTGCATCCATGCGTAATTTCTTGGCCAATTTTCGTACTGATGCGATGTTTTTCTTTTTGAAGGCCGACCAGATCGCGCAGAATTGAAAACTCCGACTGATTTTTCAATCATGTGAGATGACGCCCAGCTGGCGCCGAAATCGGGAAGGTGAAAGGAAAAATGTGAAAATTTCAGTAGAATTATGCAAATAATATTTTACATAAAATTTCATACACTGAATAGAATACCGTGAAATATAAAACAGTATACTGTTCTACATAATTCCTTTAAATTTTTTTTCTATCTAGTTCAAGCGATATTCAGGTGTCGGAAATGGTTCATTATGCAAAGACTATACTCCGTGCATAAGAAGTGCTTATATACGGTGACCAGAGGTTTAAATTTTTTTAAATACTTTGCGTGGGGTATCTCATCGTGACGAGATGATGAATGTACGGTTTATTGACACAATTTTATGGAATACCGGCATTTTTTCAGCATATTTGGACACAATATACATCATTTTACGTATATGAAACCTCGGGGAAATCAATTCAGAGCTTGGTCTGAGGACCCAAAATCGTAAGGAAATCTTGAAAGCAACGAACCTTATCGTGATTCGTGAACGAGTTTCGAAAAGAGATTTCAAGCCAGTACGACTACTACTCTGCAACATTTGAAAACATATGTAATGAAATAAATGTCCGAAGTTGACCGACTTGAATATGGATTCATTGAAAGTCTGTGCGCTGAGCTGATCTGACTGTTGTGAACATCCCGAAGAAATTTTTTCATTTGAACATTTGATAAGCATGTTTATAAGATTTTGTTTAACCAATAGCTCACTTATCCTGAAATCTAATGCACATATTGTATTTACACTGTTTCGTACAGTAGATGAACGAGCCTTGCAGCTGTGAAACCATTTGTATGATTCAGAAGTGCTGAAAATTATCTGATTTTCCTGACATTTCGCTGAACCCAGCATAAATCCCTTTTTGCGTTCATTCAAAAACACACGCACAACGTTGTTTCCTGGAAACTCACGTGACCCTGAGTACTTTTTTCTGTCACCGACAATTGTACATTCTTTTCTTTTTAATGATTGCTCGATTAGAAGTGAAAGTCAATCACGCAGTCATCTCGTGTGTAAGTGCCACGCATCTCGGTGATAGTTCCGGCTTCAAAGCCCGATTCCGCGGAATCGGAAATGATAATAGTTTACGGCTTAGAAATAAATTTAAATCCATCGATCCGTAATCTGCTTTTTTTAATGGCGTGAATACGAGAACTAGAATTTGAGTCGCACGTAGAACGCGATCTGAAATTATTCAGTTGTGAGCGAGTTCCATGGACTTCGAATGAACATGTAGAGATAAAGATGAACAGTCATTAACATTTATTATTATTGCCTGCGTTTACAACTGAATATGAGTTGCGCTTCGAAAAAACCATGTTTTCAATGGTACAGTATTTCCCTTTTATGAACGTCTGAATAATACTTTTTTTTATACTATTGTAATGCTGTACTGCTGTGTTGGGCTTGTCACAGAGCAGGCCGCGGGATGAATTTCTGCAGTTGTTCATTTCGGAATGCCCAAGAATTTTTCGTGACAAGAGTAGCGACACAGAGACAAACACATTCAGACACTATAACCTCAAGTTTTTAGTTTTAAAACTAGAGGTCGCTGCAAGCATTAGGTCCACCGTAAGGGTACAATTAGCGCATCAAATTTCAATTTACGCTATAGCCCATTATCATCAATATAATTCGCTTCATATTTCCTTAATTTCTCGATCATATTATGTATAGAAATAATTTTTAAGATCATGAAAAAATGTGGAAGCTTTGCAAGATTTATTTTATCTTGAAGAACGATGGAATTGTACCTCGGGCGTGTTGATGATCGCTTGAAGAAGTAGTAGTTTTCAATAAAAATTCAGGCCGATAGGTTTTCAAAAGGCCAGGATGTCTTAAAATAAGTGTATTCACTGTCCGGATCGCAAACAATGCGATTGAAGAATCGCATTTTTTCCCAGCTAGATTCCATGCATTTTCCGATGAAAAAAAACGGAAGCTTCTTTTTTAAGTATGGCAATACAGTACAGTACCTTCAACATCCACGGTTGAACATTGTTCGGCATATTAGAAGAAAGAAGTTCGTCCTGTGAAAAAAGTGCGCATGAGGTATTTGTTGAAATAGCAAATGAAGAAAAAGGTAATTTTGCGATATCTTAAGGTACGATGGGTCACTATATTACAAACAAATTGCCTCTACTGTACAGTATTCCGAAGAGAGAACAGCTCTTTATTGGACATGGTTTCATTCCGTCGAAATCTGTTCCGGCATTTTTGTCAGTGACTTGGTGTTAGTCATTTTCCTTTCGATATCACTGAGGGATTTCCCGCTGGTCTCAGTCAACGTCAAATTAAGAAACACGACAACAAACAAGCAAATCCCTGCGTAAACCCAGAAAGTGCCGTGCTTGCCCAAACTCAGGATCATGTAATGGAAACTTTGCAGAGTTGCAGACGTGGACCCCGAATTGACAGCATTCATGAGTCCGCTGATGTGGTTCTTGATTTGCACTGGAATTATTTCTCCCAAAAGAATAAATACGAGAGTCGCCATGCTGAAGTTGAATCCTATTTGGGTAACCGTCAGAAGAACGACCGGCAGCCAACTATTCCTGTATATTGAGCGTAAAAGATTTATTTCTAATAAAATCCGAATGGATTAATTTTTTTAGCCCTGCAGCAGTTTCAGGTGATCAAAATTGGGACTTATTAGAGGTTACAGTTCTTTTGAACTAAACTGAGTGAAACACAAATACGAGAAAACCTGTTTCAGCAATGTGACGTGAATAATGTAATTTGAAATTAAGGGCTGCCATAATTAAGACGATGAGCCCCAAGAGCTCCATAAAAATTCAACCATGTGTTTTGGTTTTCAATAAATCATTTTGCATCTAAATCTCAATTGAGTTGTTTTACGCCACATGTTTCATACATAAATTTCAAGTGAAACCTTTTATTTCCAATTATTTCCAAGTATAACTTCCAAGATTTATATTATTTCCAAGATTTATTTCCAAGTAGAATTTTGTTACACAATAATGGCTTTTCAACGATCAATTAGTGTGCAGCAAAATTTCGTCGCCTCTTTGCTCGTGGATTTTTTTTTTTATAGGAAAGAAAGAAGTACATTTCTAGGAGTGAAAACTAAGTGGCTGTTGTTTCTCCGAAATTTCAGTCCAATATACTGTAGAACAACTAGAGCTTTTAAAGCCATTTATCGGAACTGGTTGCCATAAAGAGTGTGCACAAAGACTTCACATATCTGTGCACTGTGAAATATTTGATTCAATTTATTCTCGTTGGGTCTTTCAATGTGTTGCTATTTTTTATGCAGTGTACATCACGGTACGACAAATATTCTCAAACGCAACTCTGAACCCGTCCTTTCTGATGTTTTTTAAAACGTTCAACCAGTTCTTTGAATTGCGTTCGTTGTGCAAGTCATCAGAATGCCATTCGCGAACAGGTCAAATCAGGCGGAAGCTTTCACTAGAAAAATGGTAATATTCCATTGAACGGTTCTTCCATTGATTCATCATAGGAAAAATGTCATGCGGACGAGAGAAAGAATTTTTTTTTCAGGTATACGCACTGTATTGCGATGTATTGCAGATCAGGGGTTACTTCGCAGTAGGAGTAAATTCCCATTCCGACGTGTCCCACTGCCATGACAGTCCCAGAGATGGCGATGCATTTCTTTCTTCCTAGTTTGTCCATCATCCAACCGCCAAATACGACGAATATCAATTGGAAAAACCCAAGGATAAGGACAGCGTACCTGTATACGTGAGGGAAAAAAAATTGCACGCTTATTATTTGGCGCTTCGGGCTCAGCATTCACCGCTGAAAAAGGTACAGTACAGTGCAGTGCTAACATTTTCGTATTGAAATCCTCTCCAGTGCAACTAATTGCAAGATAAATAAGCATCAAGACGTAAATCTGTACATTCGATTCTTAAATTTGATTCAACTTTTATACAGTAATTTACAATTTCAGCATTCATAACGACGTGGGAAATTTTTTTTTTACCAGAAGAATAAATTTCATGATGATCTTTACAATCATTGTGCATCACACACAAATTGCCAGCACCAAAAATATTTTTTTACAAAGAACATAGATGTAAAATAATTTGCCTTATCTTAGAGATTTTCTAAAAATAATCGCAACATTTGGTAGGACTTGAACTTCATGAAAGTTATGTATAGGGTTGGAAATGTGGCAATTAAAAAGACGATTTTCTTGCAGTTACCGGTATTAGCACGTTCAACTTTCGAATCTCTTGTGCGGAATTTTTTGTTGAAAACAAGAACAACTAAACTGACAAAATATTTTTAAATTAAACAATAATTGGCGCGTCTCGGGACGCGCCTGCAGCTGTTCAAAAAAGGCCCTTCCACAGGGCTTCAAAACAAAATTG